TAACAACAAAGCCAGTGGAGGTGATGGCAGGACTATTTAAAACATTAAAAGATGATGCTGTTAAGGTGTTACACTCAATATGCTAGCAAGTTTGGAAAACTCAGCTGTGGCCAGAGGATTGGAAAAGATCAGTCTACATCCCAATCCCAAAGAACAGCAGTGCCAAAGGATGCTCCAACTACCGTACAATTGCACTCATTTCACATGCTAGCAAGGTTATGCTCAAAATCCTCCAAGGCAGGCTTCAGCAGTATGTGGACCGAGAACTCCCAGAAGTAAAAGCTGGCTATCGAAGGGGCAGAGGAACTAGAGACCCAATTGCTAACATGTGCTGGATTATGGAGAAAGCCAGAGAGTTCCAGAAAAACATCTACTTCTGCTTTATTGACTATGCAAAAGCCTTTGACTGTGTAGAAACTATAGAAAAGTCCTTAAAGAAATGGGAGTGCCTGCCCATCTTATCTATCTCCTGAGAAATCTATATGTTGGACGGGAAGCAACAGTTAGAACTGGATATGGAACAACAAATTGGTTCAAAATTGGGAAAGGAGTACAACAAGACTGTATATTGTCTCCATGCATATTTAACTTATATGCAGAATGCATCATACGGAAGGCTGGACTGGAGGAATCCCAAACAGGAATTAAGATTGCTTGAAGAAATATAAACAACCTCAGATAAGCAGATGATACCTGTTGTGCACCCCCCCCAGTGACCCCTGTACAGTGGTGCCTCACATTACGACGTTAATTCGTTCCAGCGATATTGCTGTAGAATGAAAACGTCATACGTAATGCGAAAATAAAAAGCCCATTGAAACGCACTGAAACCACTTCAATGCAATCCAATGGGCTGGAAACGCACTGTCCAGTGAAAATCCTCCATAGGGCTTTGAGCTGTAATTGTCTTTCCTCAGCTCTGGCTTTTTCCTTTTCATAATCTGGCTCCTTTTGTCTAGCTTCCACCTGTAATTCTTCAGCTCTAGTCCTTATTTCTAATTCTTTTAATTTAAATTCCTGCTGCAAGCTCCATCTTTCAAATTCTTGTGAGGTTAACCCAGTTTCTCCTCTTGAGGTCTCCTCCTCCTGAGCCTCCCCTTGCTCTATCATTTCAAGAGAGCTATTCTCTTCCTGAGGTAAACTTTGCACATCAGCAGCCCCCTCCATACCAAACTTTTTCCCTCTCTTAGAAGGCATGTTTCTATGTGTTTCTTTAGACAAGTTGTTTTTTTTCAGAGGCAGCCAGGCAAGCCTCAGTTTAAAATACTTTTTTCCTTTCTGAGTTAGAGTGATAGAGATGCAGTAGCTCTCCACTGGCAGTTTCAGATGGCTACTTTATATTTTCAGGCACCTAGCCTAGCTGTTCCTGTGTCTGAGACCCTGTTACTTTTAGCCTCCAGACACCCAGCTGTATCAGAAATATTTTTCTTCTGTAAGCCTCAGTTATATTCAGTCACCGCAGCTATTTCTCTTGACCCTGGCTAACACTTAAGTCCCCTCAGTGCTCCCTTTTCTCAGAGCTTCAGGATCTAAAGCTCTAGCCTCTTGGTCCTTCCTTTCTAAGTGTGAGGTAAACTTTTTAAACCCAGACTTCTCTTCAGAGTCTTTGCCTGCCTTAGCCTTTCCTAAAGCTTTATCCTTTTCAAGCTGCTCACCAAGAGCTCTAGGGTTCCCTACTCCTCCTTCCACAGCCTTCGGCTATCAGGTTCCTCAGACTCAGAATATTTCTCTTTTTAATTAGGCTTACTGGAATTCATTCCTTTCGAATCCCACACAGCTGCCGCCACTTTTTTCACACACACCCAGTGACCCCTGTATATTATGTCTCTCACACAAGTTCACCTTCGGACACAACTTGTTCTTTTCCCCTTTTTCGCTGCCACCAGAGGATCTTATCCTCACTATATCAATTATTAATCTCACACTCTTGCTGCCAAATACAACTAGGTTTATTTATGGAGTCGAAAGTAAATCACAGAAGGAAAATCATGGATATTCTGTTATCATCCATCCAATAAACGTGGATTTGATTACTTATAAGCTTGCTTGTATTCATTTACTTTAATCAAGGTCTCAATATATTCTCTGCCTATGTACTTCTAATTCATTTTAACTCTTTAATATTCTCTACCAAACGAACTGTCCAATATCTTGTCTAAACACTTCTCAATCTTCTCTCTAAATCTCAGTCACACCCAGTTCTGTTGACTCCTTCCCTCCTGTCCTGTCATAGGCTCCTGCACTAGAGCTCTAAAATGACTGACAGCAGTGATGTGTGGACTGTCCGCCACAATGCCACTCTGATGACAGAAAGTGAGGAGGACTTAAAGAACCTCTTAATGAGGGTGAAAGAGGAAAGCGCAAAAAATGGTCTGAAGCTGAACATCAAAAAAATAAAGATCATGGCCACTGGTACCATCTCCTCCTGGCAAATAGAAGGGGAAGATATGGGGGCAGTGACAGATTTTACTTTCTTGGGCTCCATGATCACTGCAGATGGTGACAGCAGCTGCAAAATTAAAAGATGCCTATTTCCTGGGAGGAAAGTGATGACAAGCCTAGACAACATTTTAAAAAGCAGAGACATCACCTTGCTGACAAAGGTCTGCGTAGTCAAAGCTATGGTTTTTCCAGTAGCGATGCATGAAAGTGAGAGCTGGACCATAAAGAAGGCTGACCACCGCAGAATTGATGCTTCTGTATTGTGGTGCTGGAGGAGACTCTTGAGAGTTCCCTGGACTGCAAGGAGAACAAACCTTTCAATTCTGAAAGGATATCAACCCTGAGTTCTCACTGGAAGGACAGATCCTGAAGCTGAGGCTCCAATACTTTGGCCATCTCATGAGAAGAGAAGACTCCCCAGAAAAGACCGTGATGTTGGGAAAGTGTGAGGGCAAGAGGAAAAGGGGACAACAGAGGATGAGATGGATGGACAGTGTTTTTAAAGCTACTAACATGAATTTGACTGAACTCCGTGAGGCAGTGGAAGACAGGAGGGCCTGGTATGCTCTGGTCCATAGGGTCACGAAGAGTTGGACATGACTTAACGACTGAACAACAACAAAACTGGAGGGGATCAGGCACAAGCTGGGAAATTAATATATTTGTCAGCATGTCATGTGAGTGGAAAATAAGAACATTTTATGTATATAAACATTTCATTATGGTTGTTTGTTAGTTAAAGGTGCTAGAAGTGTTGAAAGAATGGAATTTCCTCCATGAATCTGCATGTATGTGTTCAGAAGATGGTGTAATAGGGGTTATCATGGTGGAATTGGATTACAAAGTAAGCAGAAACTTTTTGAGATTTTGATTAGCAATGCTTGTAGGATAAATTTATTTAACTGTAGGCATAGTAACATACCCTTCATCAGTTAGTAATGTGGTTTGTACAATTTTAATTGAGCCTGCCTAAGCAAATTTTGATGCAACTGAACAAGGACCTTTAAAGGGGATATCGTTTTTAAGGCTGCTTATTCAAATGTTATTTGATTAGTTTAGAGTTTCGAAAAAGGCCATGCTGACTGAGAGATTCTGAGAGTTACAGTCCCAGAAATTAATGTGAAGGTCTAGATTCCTCCTCCATAAACCAGTTTTATATATATAGAGAGAGAAACATCTCCCAATGCATAGACACGAAAGGAGAAAGTTAAAAGAAAACTTTTGATTCCTGTTGTGTTTGTTAATCCTAAAGTACAACAGATTGATCTTTCTTTGAATATGATGTCCTAGCAGAATTACCCTTGTTTAGTTTTTTAAATTAGGTGATTATTCACGTGTCTTAAACTTTTCCAGTGATCAAAGGAAGGAGTTCCAGCTGTGTCCTTTTGAGAGTGGACAAGCTTCCAAAAGAATTTTGGCTGAATACAAGTCTGCAGTCCTATGCATCTGACTCCCAGAGACCTTGCAGAAATTTACTTCTAAGTAAAAATATTGGAGGTTGTTGCTTTTATTTTTAGAAAAGGAATTAAAACATATATAAAAGACCTAGTGCAGCATTTTGTTACTGCAGGGAAAATAAATCAGATTAATCTTTCCAATATTGTGATCTTTATATTGTCACATTAAATTCTTTACCTTTAACAGACAAAAAGTATATATGATATTGTTCATCATAAACTTGTTGAGGTGAAGAAATCACATGAGGCAATCACAGCACAGTGTGAAAAAAACAGACTATCTATGTCTGAGCAAATAAAGGCTGCTGAGGAGTTGTTGAACCAACTCAGGTAAGTTCTTTTAAGCTTTACGAGATTATTCTTCAAATGAGTTATGTTCATTTATGTACATGAAAACTGAATTCCTTACACAGATGATCTCAGATGCCTTGGGAAGCAGTGGTATTTTTTTATATTTATGTATACAAGTCCATATAGATAAATTGTACTTTTTAAACAACACAGGTTGCTGCCCTACAGGTTTACATTAAAACAAATATACAGTGGTGCCTCATTTAACGGGTGCCCCATTTAATGATGAAATCGCATAGCGACGATTTTGCGATCGCATTGCAATGTTTTAAATGGGAAAAATCGCTTTGTTTTGTTTCGCTTACCGATCATCATTGCAAAGCAATGATTTTCTAACAGCTGATCAGCGGTTCCAAAATGGCCACCGGGTTAAAAAAATGGCCGCCCGCTGTTTTCTGTTTTTTTAAGCCCATAGGAACGCATTGAAGGGGTTTCAATGCATTCCTATGGGCTTTTTAATCTTTAATATCACATAGTGACAAAATCGCTTTGCAGCAATTTTTGCTGCACCGATTATCGTCGCTATGCGAGGCATCACTGTATGTGAAAATGATACAGATAGGGGAATTCAGAGACTTGGGTAAATGTGGGAAGAACATCCTTTGACTGTGTCGACCACAAAAACTATTGCAAGTTCTTAAAGGAATGGGAGTGCCTGACCACCTTATCCATCTCCTGAGAAATTTATATGTGGGAGAGGAAGCCACAGTTAGAACTGGATATGGAACAACTGATTGGTTCAAAATTGGGAAAGGAGTACAACAAGGCTGTATATTGTCTCCCTCCTTATTTAACTTATATGCAGAA